CCCCCAGCGGCTCCCCGGGCGGGGGAAACAACAACAAAAGGCGAGAGCCCGCCGCCGCGCCCCCTCGCCGGGCCGCGGCCCAGCCTCCCGAGCGCCCGGGCTTACGGGAAGCCGAGTGGGCAAAAAAGCCCCGCGCCTGCACCAACGCCACCCGGCCTCACCTCGCACACGCACACGCACACTCGCACACGCACATGCACGGACGCGGAAAACTTCCTGGCTGCACCGGAGAGGAAGGGAAAGGGGCCCCGGGCGGCCGCCGCCGCTCCAGCCGCCGCCGCCACCGCTCCTTCACCACCCCAGTTCCGGCCACCCCCACCGCAGCCACCGCCGGTGCCGCTGCCCGGGCTGGGGCCGCGGCCGCCGCTGCATCCTCCTCCCGGCCCGAGACAGGAGGGGTGGGGAGCGGAGCAGGCAGGGGGGCGGGGTGGCGGGGAAACTGAATGGCTTGCTACCTGGAGCTCGCCAGTGACTGAAACCCGACAGAGAAAGGAGGGCGGAGCCCTCCGGGGAGAGGGCGGAGGGAAGGAAGGGCGGAGGAGGAGGAGGAGATGGAGGAGGAGGAGGAAGAGGGCGGGGCCAGCTCGGCGCGTGCGCGTGCCCGTTCGGGGCGGGGCCGGGAAGGGAGCCGGAGAAGGAAGGAAGCGACGGGGGCGCGCGTTGCGCGTTCGCGTTCGTAGTTCCATTGGGCTGAGTGCCTGGAGGCGGGTGCCCGGTGGTCTGGACAGTGAGGTGGCGCGCGCGGCCCTGCCAGAGCTTTGTTTGACTGACGGCAGGGAAGGGAATGGTAGAGGGATGGCAGTTGGTGGACAGGAAAGGAGCAAGGGAAAGAGGAAAGAAAGAAGAGCAGGAGGAAGGGAGGCGATGATGCCCCAAGCTATTTCCTGCTTCCATGACTTGTAGGAAAAAGGGCCTTAACCTGAAGCTCTAAAACTAGGGAGCGGGGACCCTGCAGCAAACACCCTGTGCTACTATCTCATTTTCCTTGCCTGATGCAAATCACCCTACGACTACAATAGACTATCTAAAAAAAAAAAAAAAATGAAAAAACCAGATCCTGAGAGCCCTGAGGGAAGGATAGAGAAGTATGGTACAACTCGTGTTCTTGTTATTCTGTGACCTCCGCTTTCTACCACTATAGTCTGATTGATTTCTTGACCAGCCTTCTCTCTCATACATGTATTTACCTACCATCCAGAGTCTATTAGATAGTGCTTAGAGTGAGGAGAGGTGTCATAGAAATCACAAATATTTTTATCCTAATTTGTATGCAAAAGACTCAGGGCAAGATCCATGATATTGAATGCCATCAATTAACAGCGCACCTGCAAAATGTACAAACCTCAAGAATGTCCCAAATGGTTTATCTTAAGTTTATATATGTATATGTGTAACGTATCTTATGCCCATATATATGTTGCTTACATACACATATACATATACATATTTGTGTTTATATTATAGTACCTAATAAAATGTAGATGTACAGTTATATTATTGTGCTATTGTTTAGGGAATGACAAAAACCTGCACATGGTTCAGTAAACATGCAATTCTTCCAAATATTCTCCAGGCAAAATTGGTTTAATAAACAATTATGGAATTCAGTGACACAAGCCAACACTGTATATGTAACCATGTAAGTGGACAAATCATTATACTTTGAAATTAAAATATTGGTAATTTGCCCTTTGAAATTCATATATTGTTCTCATAAATTCTTCTAAGGATTCCCCCACTGTTAATTAATTTTAATATTTTCTCTGCTAGAATGAATAAACCAACATAGAAACACACTGAAGATGGCAAAGAGCTAAAGTAACCTCTGAAAAGGGGAACGGGTCACTAAAAGAGACAGCAAAGAGCAAGCAAAGGATTTCCTTTATAAGTTCACAAGTCACTATTTACCTTGTCAGTGACAATAAACATGATTAAACAGTACCAAACTGAGAGACTTGAAGACGGGTTGAGAATTCTTAACAGTATAGTCAAACCAAGAATTTCAGCAAAACTGAAATATGTCAAGGTACATCTCTGGAAATCAATTTCAACCTACTCAAAGGAATTACTATATCTATTTATAAACGAATAGTACCAATATCTTACCTAGATTATGCTTACCCTTAGAAAAGGGCATTACTCTTCTCATCAACAAAGATTGCCATGTATTTTATGAAGTATTTTCAAATATTTTATATTTGAAATATTTTATATGTTTAGAATGTTGGGCAGATTTGAAACTTTTACAATAGTTTGTGTACTTCCTTAATCTCAAATATCTTCTGGCTTGACTGACCCATTATTTTTTCCCATAGAGTTTAGTGTTTCAACTGCTCTTATTTTTGTTTTTACCTTTATTCTGTTCTACTGTTTTTGACTTCCTGCTGACTTTAAGTCTCATGTTCTCCTTTTTTTTCCTGCTAATTTCTCCCTCAGGTTTTGCTTCAGTATCTTTTTCCCCCTGAATTTCCTAGCATAAATATACTTCCTGAAGTGTCACAAGTCAAGTTTTAAAATAAATATGAAATATCTATTTAGGGAGAGGCATTACAGTGATTCCGCAGCAATTGGTGTTAGGTATTATCTTATGTAACATCAGTTAACAAAAGGGAAGTAAACAGTCTTAATTAAATTCACAGATATTGTTAAACAGGAAAGTACTGAAAAGCAGAAAAATATACATAAAAAAGAGGAGAAAATTCAAAATAGTAAGATAATCCATCAATCTGCACTTTTAGAAAAGTTACTTGAGATATTGAAATATATTTAATGAAGAATAAGCAATAAGAATTTGGAGCAAAGACTTCTACATGAAAAGAAACTAAAAACTTAAGAAAATAAAATTTGATACTTTTACTAGCAACCCAAATATGAATGTAACTTACAGTTATTCCAAACGTTTTGCCATTTAGATACCTCCAATATGTGGAAAAGTAATTCTGACTCAATAATAATGCTGTAATTTTAGACAACCTCTAAGGATTTAGAGAAAACATAAAAATAGTTTCCTTTGGAAGGTCTAAGGAGAAATGATCAAGAGCTTCTGCTATGTTTGAGAATCTAAACCATGTTTTTCTGGCTTTTTACATGTATGTGTTCATGTTTATACATATAGTGTCAGAAGATTTGTTGGCCAAACCATTATGAAAAGAGGCCTTTTTTCTGACCCTAATAGCCACTGTATTCATTGACCTCACAACAAAATCCTCCAGATGAGGATTTTGTGTTTTGCTCTTCCTAATGAGGAAGATCTTTTCTGAAAATAACATTGAAGGGATGGAGGCTAAATATTATGATGAAAAAGTAAATAACTCTACAGAGATTACAGTGTGTGGCATAATAACTAAATAAGTCAGAAAAAATTATAAACATCATGGAAAGTTAAAAGAATAGTCTGATATCAAAGTATATGAAAACTTTGTTAAAAGGAAAACAGTTAAGTTTATACTAACAAGCTCAAAAATACTCCTTTTGAAGAATGAATGGTAGAAAAGTATGTCTTCACTCTTTAAAAGTTTATCTTTATAACTTGCTTATCTGTATTTTGCAAATGTAATTACTTTTGCATTGCTAAAAAAATTCTCCCATTCATTATTTCTAGGCTGTTATTTTCCTCTAACCAACACCATTTATATATTTTCCTTTCTGTGCCTTGGCTCCTTTATATATAGTATTTCAAAACAGAAGAAAAGAAGAAGGAAGTAGAACGATCTCAAGATGAGGGAAATGGTAGAGTCAGGGCAGGCAGGACTCTTATTTATATTCCTTTTCTTCTTTCATTCCCCTTCAATGTCAGTACATTTTAAACATCACCTGCATCACTTTCAAAATCTAACTATTCCACTGGACATTTCATCTCAGGAATTCATCAGAGTGCTAATTCAAGTTATGTTATTTGGTCTACTCAAGAAGCCCTTGAATTCCACATCTATTAGATGTGCAGTATTCTTTTATAGTAGAGAGCAACTATACAGGAAACAAATTGAGTGGGTCTTGACTTGAGATATAGATAAATAGGGGAAGCCTCTAAGTATTTCCAAAGCTTTTTACTGAACTAAAAATAACTAAGATGTTTCTAACTATATTTCTCCATTCACATGTTCTTACGAAGACTTTTCCACTGCTCGTTATCTTTAACACAGCTTTTTTATTTTCCATTCTTTACCTAATGCTTTTAAGTTGAAATATGTCATATTATAGCGTATAGTTATGATTTTTAGATTTAATCTTACAAATACTAAATAGAAATGGAGGGGCAAATTGTTTAGAATTTAGCAATACAGCGAAATGAGTGATATGTTGATGTTAGTACCATATCCTGCCACTGTTTTTACAAAAGGAAAAACACAATTCCAGCAGGCAGGAAAGGAAGAAAAGAAAAGGGATATGAAACTATTTCATAAACTCAGTCCTTTAAATTTTGTGAATTTAGCTTTATGAAATGTTTATAATGTATTATGTCCCTTTTCCCCCTATGAACTTACCATTCGTTTGCAAGCTAGGTATTTCAGTTAAGAATTCACCAGAATGAACACCAAGACTAATA